CTGTAGGGGATTTCCTGTAGGGGATTTGCAGCACGGGATGGTGTTGGGTTGCAGAGGGGGTGCAGGGGGGCTGTAGGGGATTTCCTGTAGGGGATGTGCAGTACCAGGGTGTTGTTGGAGGTGCAGGATTGCTGCAGGACATTGCAGGGGATGCCGGGGGTGCCCGGGGACTGTCGCAGTCCCCCCCCCCGCCCCCGGCCACGCAGGTGGAATACCAACCAGCGGTGACGTCATGGCGCGGAGTTTCCCCACCCCATGACGTCACCGCACGAGGACTCCCCCTCCGATGACGCAGCACCAAACCTCCCCTGGGCTGGGGGCGGGGGCAGGGAGGAGGAGGAGGAGGAGGAAGAGCAGCAGGGGGAGAAGAGAGGGAGAGGAGGGGGAAACGCAGGACAAGGGGAAGGGGAGGGGGAGAAGGAGAAGAAGGGGCGAGGCAGAAGAGGAGGAGGAAGGGCAGGAGCAGGAGGAGGAAAGCTTTCAGCAGGCCCAGCGCTGCCGGAAGCCGCTCATCCGGGGGGACCGGATCCATCTGCGGCCCCGTAGTGGCTTTGCTCTGGCTGACGGCCCAGAGCGGGGCAGCCGAGCACGGGGGACACAGGCTGAGCCCCCTGAGCCCCCCGGGGCTCCCTGGGGTGCAGAGCCCGTCCTGACCCGCTCCCACTTCAATCCCACTGCCACTCACTTGGCTCCAGTGCTCAGGACGCGGCTCTTCCTCAGCACCGCCGCCAGCATCCTCCTCCTCCAGCAAGAGGGACACACCCCGGGGACAACCCTGGGTAGCCCAGCCCCACAGTGAACCCTCTCAGGTCCTGGACACCCCTGTGCCCCCTGACCCGGGCCCTTTCTCCTTCTCCTTCTCGGGGCTCCAACAGCTCGAGTGAAAGAGGAAACTGGGAGGGAGGGGGGCGGGTGACATCAGCCACACGCGCCCTGTCACCCGGCAGGAGGGGACAGTGAGGGACAGGCAGCAGAGCCCTTCGCCAGGCCTGGCCTCAGCTGGAGCACCCCAGGAGCCACAGCCACGCTCCAGCGAGCGAGCGTGTCCCTGCCGTGGCTGGAACGGAAGGGAGCATTGTCCCTGTCCCTGCAGAGCAGCCCACTGTCCCTGATGCCATCCCGGTGTCCCTAAGGCCATCCATTCCAATGTCCATGACACCATCCACCTCGGTGTCCCCAGCGTCCCTGCTGTCCCTGGCGGGTCCCACCTGAAGCAGTCGGCGTGCCAGTCAGCCTTCAGCGCCTGCAGGTACTGCCCATCGTAGATTCCCTGCCCGCAGCTCGCACACACCGGCAGCTCGGTCCCTGCAGCCAGGGGAACACGAGGGACAGGGCTGTCACCCTTCCAGCCAGCCCCGGGGCCACCCACAGCCACAGGCGGGACCAAATCCCTCTGCCCGGGGTGGTGAATCCCATCCCCTGCCCACTGATCCTGCAACGGGTCAAGGTCGGTGGTGGCACCCATGGCCCCAGGGCTGGTGACAGGGCAGGGGCAGGACAGGGCAGAGGAGGCAGCATGGGGGCACAGAGGGGCAAGGGATCCAGGGAGGATGGCGGGGTGTAGGATGGCTGGTGGGTGCATGGGGGGACAGCAGGATGAGTGCTGGAGGGGTTTTGGGGGACACAGGGGGGTGCAGAGTGGGTGCTGGGGCATGCACAGTGCAATGGGGGGACATACAGGGGGGTGCAGAGTGGGTGCTGGGGCATGCACAGTGCAATGGGGGACACTGGGAGGTGCAGTTGGGTGCTGGGGCATGCACAGTGCAATGAGGGGACACAGCGGGTGCAGAGTGGGTGCTGGGGCATGCACAGTGCAATGAGGGGACACAGGGGGTGCAGAGTGGGTGCTGGGGCATGCACAGTGTAATGGAGGACACAGAGGGGTGCAGAGTGGGTGCTGGGGCACGCACAGTGCAATGGGGGACACTGGGACGTGCAGAGTGGGTGATGGAGGATGCAGAAGGACACACAGGGATGCTGGATGGGTGCTGGGGGATGCAGGAGAACACAGAGGGGTACAGAGGGTTCTGGGGGATGCACAGTGCATGGGGGGACAAAGAGGAGTGCAGGGTGGGGGATGAATGGGGGACACACAGAGGGGTGCAAGGTGGCTGCAGAGGTCCTGGGGGTGCAAGGTCTTGGGGGGGTGTGGGGAGCTATGAGGGGCCCAGTGAGTGCAGAGGGGAAGGAAGGCATATCAGGGATCTGGGGGTGCAGGAGGGATGCAGGTTGGAGGGCATGGGGACTGCAGGAGGGGCACATGGAGGGTGCAGGGGGAGATGTGGAAGTGTGGGGATGCAGGGGGCATGTGGAGGTGCAGGAGGAGATGCAGGCTGGACAGGGGTGCAGCAGGAGATGCAGGAGGGTGCAGCTGGGAGGGGCAGGCAGGGATGCAGGGTGGATGCACAGTTATTGACATGGAGGATGAGGGAGATTTGGGGGTGCAGGGGAGAATGCAGTTGGGTGGCAGTACAAGGAAGGATGGGGGATGGAGGCTGAACTGGGGGAACAGGGAAGATCTGGGGGTGCAGAAGGGATGCAGGGTGAACAGGGGCCATGCAGAGACATTTGGGGGTGTGAGGGGGATGTAGGCTGGATGGGGTGCAGAGGCATTCAGGCCAGGGGAGTGATGTAGGGTGGGATCCAGGGTGACATTTAGGGGAGCAGTGGAGGATGCAGTGGGTGATGTGGGCTGGACGAGTGAGAGGTGCAGGGGGCGATTTGTGGGTACAAGAGGGATGCAGGGTGGCTGGGGAGCGCAGGGGACGTGTGGGGGGCCACGGGGAACGTAAGGTGCAGGACAGGCACTTCAGAGGGGGGCGTAGGGTTGGAGGGTGATGCAGGCAGGCTGTGGGGAAGGCGCCGGGTGGGTGGGGGAACACGGGACATCGGGACGCAAGGGGGACACAGACCAGAGAGGGATGCAGTGGGGGATGCAGGAAGGGATGCGGGCTGGATGAGGGGGTGCAGGGAGGGATGCGGTCTGGGTGAGGGGGTGCAGGGAGGGATGCGGTCTGGGTGAGGGGGTGCAGGGAGGGATGCGGGCTCACGGGGACATTTGGGGATGCAGGGGTAATGCGGGCTGGGTGGGCAGTGCAGGGGGCACGCTGGGGGTGCATGGGCGCGGGATGGGGATGCCGAAGAGGAGGCTGGGGACGATGCGGGCAGGATGCGGGGGGCCGCAGGGCGGCGGGAGGGCCCGCATGAGCCGGGCTGAGGGGGCGCGGGGCCCGAGCGGCGGCGGAAGCGCTGAGTCAGCCGGGGGGGCTCGGAGGGTCACGCACCTTCGTCCTCTCCCATAGGCTCGTCCCTCCAGGTGCAGCAGAGCAGCATCAACCTCATGCAGGCGCGCTGGCGGCGCCGCGCCGCGCCGGGGCTGTGGCGGAGGCGGTGCCGGTGCCGGTGCCGGTGCCGGTGCCGGTGCCGGTGCCGGTGCCGGTGCCGCTGCCGGTGCCGCTCGGGCCCCCCGGCCCTGCCGCTGCCGCTGCCGCTGCGGCTCCGGGCGGCACCGCGGCGCCTGCACCGCGCCTGCGCGGCCGCGCGCCGGGGCGGGGCCGCGGGAGCGCGGGGCGGGGCGGGGCGGGGCCGGGGTGGGCGGGGCCCGGGGGCGGGGCCCGGAGCGAGCAGGAGGGAATGGGCGCGGTGGGGCCGGGCTCGGGGGGCGCGGTGGGGCCGGGCTCGGGGGGCGCCGTGGGGCCGGGCTCGGGGAGCGCGGTGGGGCCGGGCTCGGGGAGCGCGGTGGGGCCGGGCCGGGCTCGGGGGGCGCGGTGGGGCCCGGGGGATGCGCACGGTGGGGCCCGGGGGATGCGCAGTTCACGGGGCGGAGGGGCCGTCCTCACCCTCCGCTGACCATCACGAGTGTCCCCAGCTATGCCAGGCCAGCCCCGTGTGCAGGGCACACCCGCTACTGGCCATCACGGGTGTCCCCGCGTGCCGCAGGCTGTCACTCCGGTCAGCACACAGATTTGCCCGTGGGGCATCACATGGGCGTCTCTCTCGCTCCCCACACTGTCACCACGGGATAGAGCACGGACATCTCCCTGCATCCCCAGGCCACCACCATGGCAAGGGGCACGGGCCTCATCCTGCCTCTCGGGCTTGTGGGATAAGTTATGGATGCCCCCTTCATTCCATGCACTGTTACCATGGGACAGCACATGGATGTCACCCCCTGGGCTGTCACCAAGGGCAGGGACAGCACGATTGGTCCTGAAGCTGTCACCAAGCACAAGGCACAGACATTTTCCTGCACCCCCAGGCCCCCACTGTGAGTCAGAGCACAGACCTTTTCATGGGTCCTGAGGCTGGCAAACTAGGACAGGGCAGAGACATCCCCGACACCTCAGGCCAGGGCACAGACCTCCCCCTGGAACCCTGGCTTGTCATTGTGGGAAAAGGCATGGGCAACCCTTAGGTCAAAGCTGTCCCCCCGCCCCTCCCGTGGGTCCCAGGGCTGTGACCATGCAGTGGGACAAGCAACAGCCCTGAAGCAAGGACCCAGCACGGTTCCAGGCTTGTGCAGTGGCACGGGCTGGGGCGAACCCCTGCACCATTGCCACCGCCGCAGGGAGTGGTCATGGACATGGAACACAGAATCCTTTAAAAACTTGTCCTTTATTAGTCTGTCAGAAGCGAGTCCCTCTGTATAGGGCGTCCCACCCAGTTATAGCAAAGTGAGAAACGTGAAGGGACCGAGCCCCTCCTGCCCGCGGCCCCCCCAGACCGGGGAGGGCGCGGGGACTGGGGTGGGGGCCAGGCTGACGGGGCCATCCCTCCCCGCACAGCCCCCGCTGCCGGCATCCCCTTCCCTCCCTCCCTCCCTCCCTTCCTCCAATGTGGGGTGCCCCTCATCCTGTGTCCCCCCCCGGGGTCAGCTCTGGGGCTGGGGAGGGGCGCGACAGCCCGGGCCCCCCAAATCCCGCAGAGAGCGATAGCACCAAGGGGGACGGCTGCTCCCCGCCGATTATTCCGCGCTCCCTGCCGGGACCGAGGGGCGGGGGGCCGGGCGCTGCCGGGGAACGCGGGGTCCCTCCGGGTGCCCGGCCCCGGGATGGACGGGGGGTGTCCGGGGCTTGAGGAGAGGGTGTCTCAGCTTTGCTCGGATTTACATTCTGGACCATGCAGTAGCACCAAAGTTCATGAGGTGATCGGTGACGGAGCGTTACTTCCGCTTCCTCCCGCAGTACTTCCCTGCCGCGCAGCCCGCGCCGCCTGCACGGGGCACGCCGTGAGCTCCCTGCCAGCGCCCCGCAGGGATGGGACCGGGACTGCGGGCAGGACAGGCCCCGAGAGCCGGCACCGACTCACCTCTAAAGCCCAGCGCACCCAGAGCTCCTCCGTAGGGTTTGGGGGGCTTCCCTGCAGCGGGAAGGCAGGGCAGGGTGAGCGGGATCCCCGCGGGGATCCCCAAAACACCCCGCGGGGAGAATGGGTACTCACCACCGAATCCCAGGCCGCCGACCCCGCCTGAAAGGAGAGCGAAGCCCTCAGCAGGCACGGAGCACCCCCGCTTCTCTGCCCCGCACCCCCCAGGCCGGTCCCCGGCTGAGCCCTGCCCCCGGGGTCCCTCCCCAGCCTCTGGCCGTGTCCCCATCAGCTGGCCAGGGTGCGTGCTCAGTGCCGAGCTGGGGGTGGTACCTGGAAATACCGGTGATACGCCGAAGCCTGGAACTCCAACGCCTGGGAAAAAAGCAACAGCCAGTGACAGCCGATGACAGCAGTGGCATTCTAGCGTGGACTGGGGACAGCCTGGCTGGGATCCCTTGCTTACTCCAGGAACAGGAGCTGATGCAAAAGCCGCCATGCCCACCCTGGCACCTCTCTGGCTTCCCAGTGCTCCCCCAGGCAGCCTTGTGCCCAGCAGGGAATGGCAGCAGCATGGGGACAGCAAGCGGGAACGAGTGTGGCAGGACCAGGGACACAGTCCCACACCAGCCCCAAACTGCAGCACTCACCTGGCTGCAGCCCCCCAGCACCAAAACCTGCAGGTGGGTGAGCCCCAGTGAGGGTGAGGAGCGTGAGCACAGCCATGGGCATGTGGATGGGGACAGGGACTGGAGTCACTCTTCCAGCCCCTCTGGCTGTCCCTTACCTGGCTTGGGAGGTTTCCCAGCAGCTCCTGGATACAAGAGTCCTAAGTCAGAGGGGACCACCAGTGCAGTCCCTGCCCGGACTCATGAGCCCAGGGCATACCCAGACCCTTCAGGAGGGGCCCAGAGGGTCCTAGGAGGGACCTGCATCTCCACACACTGGGGACAGGGTACAATACCATCCCCTGTTCCCATGGCATGGGCAAGGCTGGGGCTGTGAGCCTCAGTCCTTCTCAACAATGGCAATCCCTTTGGATCACCCCCTGGGAACAGGGCAGGTGATAAACAGGACAGGGGACAGTGACAGTGCAGGGTGGAATTATACTGTGAGACTGGGAGGAGACAGAAGTGACCCACAGACTCCCTTTCCTTCTCATGGTTCTGACAGCACTCCGCTGCTGCTGCTGCTCCCTGCAGCCCAGCTCTGGGGAGCCTCACACCGGGACCAGCGTCACTCACCGAGGCCACCAACTCCGAGCCCACCGACTCCAAGGCCACCTACAAGGAGTAGCCTGGGTGAGCACCAGCAGGGACAGACAGTGTCCCCAGTATCTGACCCACTCCTCATCCAGTCCCAAGTGTGCTCATCCTTTCTCAGGCAGCCCTGCTCCCACCATGCCCAGAGGGAGCATTCCTCCAGCTCCACCCCTCTAGGGGAGCATCCCTCTGCCTGCACATCCCCACTGCCTGGGCTCAGCTCCTGCCAGCACTTACCTGGGAGGCCACCAACCCCTGGGACTCCAACCCCAGGAACACCTGCCAGAGAGACACCATTAACACCTACACCTGTCCTGCACAGCTCCAGCTCGGAGCACCCCCAGCCCCTGCCCAACCTGCTGGGGTGGCCCTGGCACCCATGCTGGGAGTCCCCAGCACCCATCTCACAGTACCAGAGGGGCTTCAGCCCCTGCATGACACATGAAGGAGAAAACTATCCTCAGTGAGCCCAGAGCAGGGGGTACAGGTGGCACTTTGCACCCATGGGTGATGGCACACCCCTTCCCACGCCTGGGCCATTGGGGCAAAGTGAGCAGGCAGGGGATAGGAAGAGAGGTCAGCACCCCGATGGCCGCAGGAGAAGGGTGTCTGAGGCGGCCCTGGGGCAGGAGGCAGGGGTACGTACCGAATTTGGGAGGTTTAGCACCAGGCTGCACCCCTACTTGGGGGATGCCTGCAAAGTGAGTGAGGACACCATGGTTAGGACAGTCACCCCCACACCGCTCTCATGTGCCACCACCCTCCATCCCACCCGAATCCCTCCCTGCCACCCCTTCAGGTGGCTCGGTGGCTTTTGGCATTCCCAGCCACCACTGTCCCCAAGCAGGGCGGGACAAAGCATGTACCTGCCCCGGGAACGATGCCAGTTCCAGGTACTCCTACCCCTGGCACCAAGCCGGGCACGCCACCAACACCGGGTGTCACTCCAGGCACTCCGCCCACGCCAGGTACGGCCCCTGGCACCCCCCCAACCCTGGCACCTGTAGAGAGAGGGGTGAGGCAGCAGGCGTGATCCCCACGCTCAGGTGGGATGATGTGCCAGGCCTGGGCGCTCATGCCCAGCATCCCCTGCACTGCTCAGTGCCACACCAGGGCTGGCAGGGAGCCTGAGGGGCTCCCCAGGCTGACTCACCAAATTTAGCTGCCTTGGCTGCTGCTTTGGCTGCTGCTGCTGGACCTCCAACACCTGGGCACAGACAGCAAGGGGGGGTCAGCCCCTGGGGAGGCCTCACAGCAGCCTTGTCTGCATCCCCCCAGGGGACACTGCTGAAGTTCTCCTCAAGCCTGTTGTGCCCCCACAACTGCCCCCACACCAGTCAGGCTGCCCTCACATTCGCCTTCCTCCTCCTCACCTGGGACACCTCCAACACCAGGAACCAGGCCACCTACTCCAGGAACCAGGCCACCCACGCCAGGAGCCAGGCCACCCACGCCGGGAGCCAGGCCACCCACGCCAGGAGCCAGGCCACCTACTCCTGTAAGGAGAAAGAGAAGGACTGGGCCTTCAGCTCAGGAGAAACATGGTAGAAGGAGTTGGATGAGAAGGCATGGCAGGCTAGGGGGTGAGGGGTGGCTGGATGGATCACGAGATGGATGTGTGGATGGATGAGGAATGGTTGAAATGATGGTAGGATGGATGAATTGTTAGATGGATGGTGAGACGGATGAATGAATGGATACTGAGATGGACACATGGATGGTGGGATGGCCAGATGGACAGGTGGATGGAGGGGTGCTGAGATGGATGTGCGTGTGAAAGGGGAGTGGTTGAATGGATGGTGGGATGGATGAATGGAGGGATGATGAGGTGCACTAATGGTTGAAGGGATGGTGAGATGGATATGTGGATAGACAGATGGATTTGTGTATGGATGTGGAGTGACTGAATAGAGGAATGGAGGAAGTACAGATAGATGGACAGGGAAGGAGACAGATGGACACTGAGGTGGTTGTGTGGCTGGCTGGGCAAAACAGTGTATGGATGGACCAAAGAATGAGAAGATGGTGAACTCAGACTCTCCACGAGGCTGAGCTCTCTGAACATCATCCCACATGCAGCCCTTTGGGGAGCTCATCCCTCAACCCTATCCCAGGGGACCCCAGGCACTGCTGAGCCTCACCCCCTGGGGTGGGGATGAGCAGGAGACAGGACATGCGGGATGACTCCAGAGAGATCCCGGCTTACCGTACTTGGCTGCTTTGGCGGCTGCTTTGGCAGCGGCTGCTGGGCCTCCTGGGGGACAGGGAGAGGGAGAGGGTCAGGAGTGCATTCCACCAGCACTGCTGGGGACATCTGAGCATCCCTTGGGCACCATCTCACCTGGAACGCCGACCCCAGGCACCAGACCAGGCACGCCAACACCAGGCACACCCACTCCAGGAACACCCACTCCGGGGATGCCAGCGCCGGGCACACCGACACCGGGCACACCGACGCCGGGCACACCGATGCCGGGCACGCCTCCTGCTCCTGCAGAGAGGTTCAGGGATGTGTGTGAGGGGGCAGACTCCATAGCAGGAATCCCACTGACCTCCACAGCACCGGGGTGTCCCCACCTCTCCTGTGTGCCAACACACCTCCTCCCTCCCTGGGACAGCCGATGGTGACGGTGGTGACAGTGGTGACTCACCGATCGCCGCCGCTTTCGCTGCAGCCTTGGCTGCGGCCGCTGCTGCTGGGCCACCCACTGCGGGGACACGAAGGACACAGTCAGGGTGCTGCAGAGACCAGCATCCGTCCAGCGGATGGTGGCAGCCCATCTGCTCACCTCCAACACCGGGCACAGCACCGGGAACCCCAGGCACACCAGGAACGCCTGGGACACCAGGGACACCAGGAACTCCAGGAACTCCAGGGACACCAGGGACACCAGCAATGCCAGGAACACCAACACCTGCAGGGAATGAGACGGGAGAAGTCAGATCTGGCTGCAGCAACAGCTGAAAGGCTGGGCCTCATTTGTCTCTGTCTCGTAATCATGGCCTGGAGAAAAAACCATCCACAGCCATTTCCAGGACAGACCCAAGCAGGGCAGGAGAGGGAGCAGTTGCTAGACCCAGAGAGAAGCAATCCAGGATCCCGGCAGGTTTTGCAGGGCAGTGACCCTGGGCCCTGCAGAGCACGTACCGTACTTAGCTGCCTTCGCTGCTGCCGCTGCCGACGGCACCCCTGGGGACAAGGGAGACAGGGACCCTCAGCCACC